CCAAATTCATACAGAATAGCAATGAAATGGCATACACATAAGGGATTCTCACCTTAGCACAAATTGTATGAGTATTTCTAGCATAGCATGAGTTGGCTCAAAGTAGGCAATTTGGGGCTCTGTTTCTTTGCCATCTGCTACCTAGACCTGAGAGTTTATCTGCTTTACTTCCCCTGCTGATGCTGAAGCCACCTGTTACATTAAAACTTTCCAGGAATTCTTACTCTTCCAGAATGTGTCTTGAGATCTTGGATTTTAAATAGCTTCTGAAACGGTGGGACTCAGTAAAGCTATGGCTGTGAACCCAAGGTGATGCTCAACAGACGCCTGATCCAAGAGCCTAATCCAATATACAGCTAGACGTTTCTAAGCCAGCTGACATCAATGGGCTTTCTAACTTTGCATAGAACTAGGCTGCAAAATTCTGGAAGCAGAAATAAATGACAGCTTTAGCTGAAGATGAAAAGTCCACTAACACTTTGGTCATGCTGGCAGGGAATTATGGGAGCTGAAGCTCAAGACATCTGAAGTTTACCAGGTTGTAAAAGGCCCAAAAGCAAAAGATCTTGCTCCAGACCTTGGTTTCCTTTGACTATATTTTTTGGGGCTCTCAGCAAAGTATTTTCCCCCTTTTTATTAGCTGAATGATATTGTTTGTGTTCCAATTTAGCTCTTCTCTCTTTAAGAAGAATATTAAAAAGAAATGGTCAGGTTGCCCTGAGCTCCCAATTAGACAGTGGTAGTGAATCCTAGTTTGGGAGATCTCTGTTTATGCAACATAATTTGGGTCCTACTCCCACTCCCCCCACATTTTCCTATTATGCAAATAATAGATTTGGTAAAGAACTGATTCCAGTATACTGGTTTGTTATTGTTAGTTGTGAAGTCATGTCTGACCCATCGTGACCCCATGGACAACGTTCCTCCAGGCCTTCCTGTCCCCTGCCATTTAAGCTCCATCCAGCCACCTCATTTTCTGTCGCCCCCTTCTTCTTTTGCCCTCAATCTTTTCCAGCATTAGGCTCTTCTCCAGTGAATCCTTCCTTCTCATTAGGTGGCCAAAGTATTTGAGTTTCATCTTCAGGATCTGATAGAAGCCAGAAAAAACCTTGCATGGTTGAGGAACAAGAGGATAGGACACAATGCTGTTGCTTTTTTTCAAACAGCTGAGGGACAAAGTATGTGTTACCCCAAACTAGACATAAGAAAGCATCCTCAACAGTTTGCTGTTTGGCTGAAAATGGAGCCATTTTCAGTAGGTAGAATGGAGATCTGAACCCCTCACTCACTTTCCTCATGTAACATTTCTACTGCTCCTTTGCTGAAAAACACTCACATTGAAACAGTAACTTTGAGAAGCAAATTGCTAGAGGTTCTTCTTTACTATTTTGTTAGAAATTAGTATGCTATGGTGCTCTTCACATGATAAGACAATAGGGCCAACATATTTTTAAATGCTTTAATCGAAGGTGTCATACCCTTCATTTTCAATCCCCATTTAATTTTTTCTCTGTGTGGATTTTTTTCTGTTTCAAGTAGGAAGCTATTGTGCATCTTTTCTTATTGTAAAAATACAGTGAGAGATTACTGTTATTTTGTAGTTTGCCAAAAAACTTTGAGGCAGTAGTCTATCTCAAATTACTTTGTACAAGTTTTTTCTCTCATCTTTTCTACTTGGGAATTTTCTTAGTGCACTTTGAACAGCTGTGTTGAAAAAAGAGACAGATAAGTGGGAAACACAATTCAGGTGGTCACCATCTCTCTTCAAGATTTGCAAAAAAAAAAAAAAAAGAGGGATGGTTGCCACATGTTATGCAACCCTGGTGTGAGACCATCATTCTAAACCAGCTATGTTTTGGCTATGAGCCAAGGTTGAAGGCATCAGGTTGAAGAAGACTTCTGCAGCATTCTTTGAGATTGGAAAATACATTTTTCTTATATAAAAATTCTTTCCCTTTGCCCCCCTCTTTTTCTCTTTGCAGAATAGTCAGGATGGCCACAAGCCCTTTAGCTGACAGAAACAAGGCAGATGGGCAGGGGCAAAAGGCAAAGAGCAAAATTCCTCTAATCCGATTTGTAGTGATCATGGATGCAATCTTGGCAAACCCATTGCATTTCTGCCTCCAGAAAGCAGAGATGTGGCTACAGGATTTCCTAGGTGTGGTAATAGCTTCCAGCTCTCCACTCAACAAAGGATTATAACTTTCAGATGGAGGAGGACTGTAGGTTGGAAGTGTAAAAACTGGGGGGTGCGGGTGATAAGCAAAGGATCTCATGAAGTTTCCTACAGTTGGGTAATAGGACATGTATTCAACATATTTGGAAGTCAGCAGAATGGGAAAGGCTGCCTTAGTGTATTTCAAATGACTATGGGATAACAACAATTTTTTATCTCCTCTTTTCTGCTTGGTGTATTTTGAATGGCTGTGTTCAAAAAAGAGAAGGATAAGTGGGAAACACAATTCAAGTGGTCACCAAAGCAAGACTCACTTGTTCTGAGAGAAGCCCTGAGACCACATGGCCTTGTACTATGAGAGAAGATGCAAAGTATATTGTCATTGTCATTATATTTTAAGCAGGTCAGTCTTTCCTAACTTTAGATCAGATGGGCTGCAAATTCAGGAAGTTAATCCAAAATATCCAGAGGGAACTCATAAGAAGATTATGGTAGAATACCCATCTGCTGCAAAAGCTAACGTAACAAATAGGAGAATAATTTTCTGCATGGGCTCAGTTGTTTCAAATTGGGGTGCAAGAGAGATTTCCCATTAAGATTCACATTACTTAATGGGAAACTGAATACATAAGAGAACAAATATTTTCCTTTCCTTTGCAGAGAATGTCTTTTACAAACAGGATAATCCATGAAACACTATTTCTCTAGAATTTGTTCCAAAAACATTCCTAACTTGAAGTACATAACAGTGCATCAAAGAAAAAACTATTACAATCATATATGTCTCAAGTAGACATGTAAAACACATATATAGACATGACATGTTTGATCAATTAATTATAATCAAAGTACTTATGTGTTTATGTTTGGGTTTAATGGTAGATTTCAATAATTCATTGCAGAACCTTACTTATGGGTTTTGGGCAAATCCACTTGCATAAGCCATCACAATCAAGGAATATGTGAAGGTTGTTTGAAATAATGCTGCCAGCCATGAAACATTTTCAAAGGGGATTGTTCCAATTAATGTGTGATTTTAAAAATTCACACATTTAAACTGTGGTTAATACATTTGATTAATCGTTGTGCCAATTAATGGAATAATGCTTTCAGCTCCACTTTCAAGTTGCCTGCTTTTTTTAATTAGACAGGAAAGGAATATCTTAACCACATTTGCAAATTTAAAATGAATGTTACCTATATTTTATGCTTTAGCTATGCCAACCTCACTTCTGGAAGATCCAATTAACTCTTATTTGATTACTGTCTCAAGTGGCTTCAGAAAAACCATGCCTTAATATCTTCAGACACACAATAGAATATTGTCCTTTATCCAAAAATGTTCTTGGTTCTCATGTGTCAGTGACATGCAAATTATTGTTCTTGTCTTATATTGGTATCACCCAAAGCTTTTCCACTTATTGAAGGTGGAATTGATTGGCATTGTTTGTACTGGGACAATCCAGAGTAGAATAGCAATAGAAATAGCACTTATATGCCGCTTCATAGTACTTTGCAGCCCTCTCTAAGTGATTTATGGAGTCAGTATATTTACGGAGTTAGTTGTTGCTCCCAACAATCTGGGTTCTCATTTTACCGACATCAGAAGGATGGAAGGCTGAGGCAACCTTGAGCAAGTCCAGATCAAACTGCTGGCAGTGAGCAGAGTCAGCCTGAAATACTGCATTCTAACCACTGTGCCATCACAGCTCAGTAATAGAAAGCAGTAATATTGGAGTAAATTATTTGGCCAAATAGATTGTCTCCTCAAATACATAACTCTCCATTGCAATAAGTTCCCTTTTAAAAAATGCTCAGTTTAGTTATTGGCTTGTTTGGGAATCTGCAGACAGTATTGTCTGGCAGAGGAAGAGAGATGATTTGGCTAACAGAGCTAATGTTTGCGATTCACTCCAATTCAACAGGTGCCAGTACCATGATGTGAATGCATAAACAGCTCTGAGTTAGCAAAACTGGCAACATTATTAAGCATCTTCTGACTTATAATGGACACCCTTGTTCTCTAGTCACGGAGCCAGTTGCTGCTGCTGCTATACCTGTATGGGAGACAACCACATACCTAGAAAGGAAAGCTTATTTCTGATCTCATTCAGAAGTCCAACTGATCTGACATCATTACATTCATATCATTATTTCATGGTTTTCTTAAGTCAAGGATGTTTTGTTGTATTACAGAGATGTTATTGTGAACAGGAGGGATTCTGATTCACATATACAGTAGCATCAAGACAAATGCATATTCCCCATCATGGTTGTTCATGGGATGTTGTAAAAAAAATTAGAATGGCTGCCATGATGGTGTGATTGAAGCACTACCTATTTTTATGTGCATCACAATAAAAGTTGTTAGTTGTTTCAGATGAGAAGGCAGCCAGAGATAATAAAATGGCAAGAAATGATAAGTTAAAAATAAGTTGTAGTTTCGTTGGTATAGAATAGTTATTGATACTTGGTTACCACTTTTACATAATGGAGGATCCCAGGATGCCAGTCCATACAAAGCACTCTAGGAGATCTTGGGATTAGTTTGGCTAATACTTGGTTAATGCTTATTCTGATGGGCCTGGGCTACTAAATCTTGTTCTATTTCTTTATGAAATAAGCTATTCCCAACCTGAATCTCTCCTTCATATGTTTATTTTGATGTGATAACATAGTGTGACAAAATTAAATATTGCAAAACAACTAACATTTACCATTTTTTATCAATTTCAGATGATTTTAGGCTGTAAGTGACTGAAGTGAGAAGTTACAGCTATTAATGTGAATAGTGCAATCACTATGCTCACCTTTTCTGTTCCAGGGCTTGCTCTATGGAATATACAGATGTTTAATCCCCTGTCAGTCATCTAGAGTCCGGGAAGCAAGACGAGTGGCTATGTAAGTCATTTACATAAATAAGCGGTAGGCACAGTTAAGAGGGCTTCAGGGATGTGGAGAAGATCACAAGATACTCATGAGCTCTGCCAGGGCAAAATTACTTGGAAAAGGAGGGAAAGCAGCCTCCAACCTGCCTTTGCCTCACAACCTCACAGTTGCTATTGCCAGTTGTGAGGGTGGTCTCCCTGTGATTCACAAGGAAGGGAAGTGAGGTAGATCCAGAATTTGTGAGAGAAAAAGCTCTTGAACAGGCTAAAATATAGAATAGTGTTCGTGAGGGAAGAAAGCCACTTTTGTCTCCTAAGGCTGCTTATTTTTTTATTTATTTTTATTTATTTATTTTTATATGCCGCCCTTCACCGGAGACTCAGGGCAGCTTACAATGCGTTAAGCAATAGCCTTCATACTTTTGTATATTTTATACAAAGTCAGCTTATTGTCCCCACAAACCGGGTCCTCATTTTACCCACCTTAGAAAGGATGGAAGGCTGAGTCGACCTTGAGCCTGGTAATTGCAGGCAGCTGGATGTTAAATGCTGCCTTAGTAGAAGACATTAGCCTCCTACGCCATTCAGGCTTAGCCAACATACAAAGAGACAGCAGGATAGCAGAATGGGATAACTTGCCACAGCCAACTCACTGTGGCCAACTCATCATGGCCAACCTGTCGCGGCCAACTCAGCATGGCCAACTTGATGTGAGACAACTCACCATGGCTAACTCGCCGTGCGACAACTCGCCATGGGACAATTTTTTAAAAAATTTTTTATTTTTAATTTAATTTATATGCCGCCCTTCTCCGGAGACTCAGAGCGGCTTACAATGCGTTAAGCAATAGCCTTCATACTTTTGTATATTTATACAAAGTCAGCTTATTGCCCCCACAAACTGGTCCTCAATTTACCTACCTTAGAAAGGATGGAAGGCTGAGTCAACCTTAAATTCAATTTAATTATTTAAAATAAATAAAAATTATTTTAATTTTTGGCATTCATATTTCCTTCTGCCCCTCCTTCTGCATCCTTTCTTTAATTATTCTATTCCAATTCTTTGATATTAGTGTAACCCTTCTCCTGCAGTGAGATGGCCATGGCGACTTGGCCACAGAAAGTTGGCCATGGCAAATTGTTATAGACCCGCAGAGCAGCACTCTTACTTCCTTCTCCCCACTAAAGGTTGTGTGAAATATTGGCCAAGTTCACAAAGTATTCCTTATTAGAAAGATATTTGGTATTGCTTTAGCTTAGTCACAGTGGCTTATCCTTTAGTAGGGAGGTGCAGCAATCCAGACTTGAAAGGGAAAAGTAAATTTGGACAGCAGACAAGTGCACTTATAACACCAGTTGGCACCTCCTTGGGAAAAAAATGTAGCTTCTTCAAGTTATTGTCAAGAATTGTGATGGGAGGATCCTGTGTGTCCCAAACCATCTTTGAATTCAAATTGCTGCACAGCCTGTCTTTTAGCCTGTTGTGAGGAAGGGGACCATTATCAACACAGCATGGTTTAATGTATGCATGAAACTGTCAATGGGGGTGGAATAGCTGTTGGTTTGACTTCCTGCATCCTGATTGTTATCCCACAAGGAAAACATGCAGGGGGAAACATGCAAATGTACAGGGGTCAGGGCCGGATTTAGATGAAAAGAGGCCCTAGGCTATTCCACTTATGAGGCCCTTTCACCTATAGTGAAAGTGTAATTTTAATTTTGCTAACAATTTGAATGTAGGCCCCTCTTGATCTTGAGGTCCTAGGCTGAAGCCTAGTTAGCCTATAGGAAAATCCGGCCCTGACAGGGGTGTATGATAGCAGTTGTTCTATTGTCCGGCATGAAGGAATCTCTCTTTCTATTTCTTTTTTCTCCCATCCTCATTTCCTGGACTTGTTGAATTTGGCTATTGGGGTTTGTATCTGAAGTCCCTCGAGGAGGTACCATTCTAGTTCAAGAAAAGTTATTAATATACTTAAATTCTAATCCAAAGGAGGGATGAACTTTCCTATTAGTGGAGCTGGGGGTGGATGGAAAGTGTCACCCAAAGAATTGCCATGTTAATGGTAGCACTTGGTTCATCTTGTCTCAGCTCAAAAACTAAGCAGGCCCTGGAAGAACATGCCTGGGTTGTAGCCTAAACTGGGAAGTTTAAAAAAACACATGCCGGTAATAGGCCTTGATAAACTACTTCAATGCCAAGAAAATGCATGGATTTGGTGATCACTGGGAATTGGGCTCAACTCAAAGGAGATATTACTTTTAGTTACCAAACAGAAAGATCAACCCAGCTTGATTCTTATGTGAACAGTCTGTCCAACTTATTTGGCTAGCTTCTAAGGCCCGTTTCCAAGATTCCTTTCAACACAGCATCAAGGGGACAATGCGATAAAAGGAAAGGTATTTTGGATGTTCTTCCCCAAAGTCAACAGGGAAATCCTATGAAATTTCCTGAGATATCTTAGAAGGTTGCAATTTTGCACATAGAAAAGTTTATATGGAAATGAAGAACAAGAGAAAACAGCATTGATGGAAATCAATACATTCTATTAGCTAGCTGTATGTCTATCTAAGTAGACTATTGGTTTTAGACAGATGTTTCTAGGTAGATCCAGACAGAGCAAAATTTGTGTTTCTGGGACTCTATGATCTGCTTAAAAATTCCTATTAAAATAGTAACTTAGAGAAGAGGGGCCATTGCTTGTCAGATGCGCAGCTTGTTCCATCTACGATGTCAATGCTGTAGTCAGGCAATCAAAAAGTTATATAGTGACTAGGTCCACTTGTTTAATGACTCTGAAATTACATGTCAAAAGGGTTGATTGGTTGTAAGTGAATGAAGCATTGTACAAAAGATCAGGCTTGTTAAGGTTTTTTAAAATTAGGAAAAGAGAATGCATGAAAAGCAAGGACATGGTTGTTAATCCTGCTCTGCTGTCATACTGCCATCCTTGGCTCCAGAGCTCTGCACACATTGCCAGCAAATTTGAGCAGTGGAGAACTTGCTCTATCCCAATCTGCTGTAAATCACACAGGGAATTTCCTAGATGACAGTAAGCTTTTCTCTGGAGAATTTTTACCTATATCGCTTGCAAAGTTGCAGAACTCAACAAAGTGATACAATGAAGGGACTGGACTAAGATGCCCACACTACTTTTGCTTGCATGTCTCCCCTCATCCTGTTCTTAAACTTCTGAATTCAACCAACTTAACTTCTCAACGGTGGTGTTTACACATCACACCAAGCTGTTGAAAATAGTTCCATTGAGTATGTTTTCTCAAAGATGGTACTTCCTCTTCTACACTCCATGACTAGCAAATCAACTCTCTGTGGTTGCTTAAGACTAAGTATATCCTCTCTTACTGCAGAAGAGAGGCTACTTCTTTCCAAGCTAAGCATGTTTTGTTTTAGGTTAAATTCTGTGCCTAATGTAGAACAGATGCAGCAAGCACTCTATAGTTGTCTCTACAAACCATAAATGAATAACTTGCTAGCCAAGGAAAAAGACAATGATTGCAAACAGTCTTCTTCTCTTAGAAATGAGACGCTTTTTTACTTTTTCCAGATGTAAGAACTGAGTTCTTCTCATGAATATTGAATAGCTGATGCAGTATCTTATTGCCATTGTTTATTATGATTGGTGTATTAACTATTCCATCAATGTTTTTATGATTTTATTATCTGTATTATGTTTGCATTATATTATTATATTATTATGAATGTTTTAATTGTTGATTTACAATTATAGACTTTGGTGGATTCAGCTATATACAAACAGAATAAACAAATTTGTCCTAATAATTTTTAAGGGCTTAGCCTGATGTGCAAATATAATTAAATACCAAGTCATTTCTCAGATGCAATGAAATCCAGACATCTCGGAAGACATGCTGGCTGGGGAATTCTGGGAGTTGAAGTTCACACATTTTAAAATTGCTGAGGTTGAGCAACCTTCATCTAAAGACAATGCTGTATGTTATATGTCCAGGTTATTATCCCCATATATAGAATTGATACAATACTATTTAATAATGATATACTGAGTTGCACTGCATTCTATATTCAGTCATTTTAAGGCACAATTTTTAAGGAGGCTCATTTCTCCCCCTCTCTATTCAAGCCAGCAAGACAGCTGCTCTTTGTATCAAATCTGAAACTGAGCTAAAGTTGAGTCCCTGATTGCATGATCAGGGATTAAAGGGGTAAGGCGGACTTTGGGAAATCTCTGCCTGCCAGCATCTTCCTTTTTACCTTGTTTGTTTGTTTTGTTTTATTAAATTTATATATTTAAATTTAAATTTATACCTTGGCTGAATGCATCTTTCCAAATGTTCTCTCAGTGCCCAGAGAACAGTTGGCTGGAGATAAGAAGACCTACACTATGAAATATGCTGCTTTTCATTTTCTTAGCTCTCAAAATTGCCCTACTGCCAACTGCCCAAGGCGTTTTCCCATTCTGGGTTCTATAGAGTAAAAGTATTGGCTTTCTCAGTGTGGAGAGATAAATGATAGGAACAGAATCAGTTCTAGGAGCAAGGCTTAGATCAGGGATAAGCAACTATGGCCCCTTTACAACCTGTGGACTTCAACTCCCAGAATTTCTCAGCCATCATGGCTCGGAGAATGCTCAGCATGAGCATAGCTGGCTCAGGAGTTCTGGGAGTTGAAGTCCATGGGTTGTAAAGGGGCCCATAGTTGCCCATCCCTGGCTTAGATTAAAGGATTTCCCTTTCTAAATCTACACACACACATCCCAATATGATCCAGCCTACTGCTGAGCATACTGAGAAGATACCCATTAGTCTATCTCATTTCAGCAGAGGCTGCTTATTATCAAATCCCATGGCAGTTATCAAATACAGAATCTTATTACAATTATGTTGTCATTCATTATATTAAAACTGAAACACAAGTGATCTATGAAAATGGCAAAGAATCTCATTAGTTTGGCAACTTGCAAAAACATTCTTTGGGCATGCTATTGCAAAAGGTCTAACAGCTGGAAACCTCTG